TTGTTCTCGGGGACCCACAGGGTGTAGGAGGTTTGGGTGAAGGTCGGGGCGTTGTCGTTGACGTCGGAGACCTGCACGGTTATGTTGTGCTGGGTTTTGAGCCTGGGTGTCCCCAAGTCGGTGACCGTGATGGTGACGTTGTACTCTGCTCTGCTCTCTCTGTCCAGTGTTTTCTCCGTTTCTAGGGTGTAATAATTCTTAACCGAAGTTTTCAGCACGAATGGTAGGTCCCCCGGGACAGAACATATCATCCTCCCATTATCCCCAGAATCTCTGTCTCGAATACTGAAAACCATAACTACAGTCTCCGGTGAATTTTCTGGGATTGGATTGGTAATTGAAGACACAGCAATTTCTGGAGCATTGTCATTCACATCCATCACCTGAATTTTGAGTGTAGATTTTCCAAAAAGCCCTCCCCCATCTGTAGCTTGAATGATTATGGAATATGATTCAATTGTTTCAAAATCCAAGGGTGCTGTTGACCTAACTTCTCCAGACTTTTGATTAATTTCAAATGTTTTTTGAATATCTTCTGAGGCATGAGAAAATGTATATGTAATTTCCTCATTTATTCCAGAGTCTAAATCCCAAGCTGAGACAGTGACAAGCAGTGAACCAAGGATGCTGTTCTCTGGAATCTTTACTTCATAAAAGGGCTGCTCAAACTCTGGAGAGTTATCATTAGTGTCTACGACCACCACATGAACCAAGACAGTCCCGGACCTGGGTGGGGACCCACCATCTAGTGCAGTAAGGATGAAGCTGAATTCTGGCTGCTCTTCATAATCCAGCGCCTTGTCCAGAACTAACTCTGGGTATTTCTGATTGTCTGGATTGACTCTCATTTTAGTGTGGAAATGAGAGTTAGGACTTATTATGTAGGTTTTTATGGTGTTGGTTCCTACATCTAAGTCTTTTGCACTTTCTACTAAGAACACAGCACCAACAGGACTATTCTCTGGGATTTCTAGGAGCATTTCTTTCTCCAAGAAGATGGGAGAGTGGTCATTTATATCCCTGATCTGAAGCTCAATTTGAAAAAACTGCAAGGGGTTTTTCATTAACACTTGGAAATGCAGCACACAAGGCTCAGTGGAGCCACAGAGCTCTTCCCGGTCTAGCGATTCACCTAACAGCAAATCCCCGCTATTTATGTCCAGCTGCAAAGGCTGTCTGTTATCATTAGAGACCACCTGAGCCCCTCGTAAGAACAGCTCACCCACCTCCAGTCGTAGATCTTTTGCCAAATTGCCTATAAACGTCCCGCTTTGCATTTCCTCCTCCACTGAAAAACTCCCAGGCTGAAGGTCTGCCTGAGATATTCCAAAAAAAACAAAGAGAAGCAGGACTTGCCTTGTCTGCAGAGCGCCTTCTTCTATGTTCTCCATAGCTCCTTCACTGAAGGCTTCCTGCAGAATGGCTTCAGCTCCACTGTGCAGTTTTAGGAAACGTTCCTTTTGGGCTGTCCACTAAATCCTCGGAAGTCTAAGAATTTTTAACCCTGTAAAATGGCTTCTAGGTTGCCTTTGAGGACTTGTTCTTTTCAGTCTTCCCCAATTTTGTGTGTGCCCAGGCTAAGTATCCACATCGTTGGTATAATTTTTTCCTGAGATATTATCCTGCAGCGCCACCACGTGTCTCCACAGATTCTCACAGTCTCTTCTGAAAGCTTCCTTAATTTTCATTCATATGGATGTCCTCCAGGGACAAATAAGTGATTACAAATATATTTGATTCTTAATAATCATTGTTTTATGATCTTTGTAGTTTGTGATAGTGTTGAATTTATTTTAAATACTTATTAAATATCCTTCTCCACTTTCCACACAACTAAATGTGTTCAGTTGTGGGGAATGCATATATATACAAGATGTGATTCCCGGTCACCAGGAGTTTGTAATCTTTCTGAGAAGGCTATAAACCTGAAACAAGGAGGATGTTACTGGTTGTCAAGTTGAACAAAATCCTGTTACTACTTGGTATTCCTTAGGTGATAAGCAAAAAAGAAAATGTCCATGCATCATTTCAGAAGTTCTCTCAGGGAGCATGAAACTGGATTAACTATGAGATGGTACAGATTGAGATAGCTGTTGTAGTACAAGAAGGCATTCTGTAGATTTCCTTAATAATAATGAATTAATTGTGAACTGGTAGAAAACAAAGTGAGATATTGGTGTTGAACAAATTATGCAAATCCATTATTTGATCTGAGTTTCTCATAATTTACAAGAAATATTTAGTAAGTACATAAATGGAAACATATTTTACTTTGAGACAGGGTCTTGCTTTATGGTTCAAGCTGGCCTCAAACTCGTCTATCCCAGGCTACACAATGGTAATCCTCCAGTCTCAGCCTCCCAAAGTTCTGGGATTATAGGCATGGATGTACCACTACACCCTGCTATGAAACATATTAGCTTCACTTAAAGCTGATTCTTACTCTTAGAGCTTGTTTCTGTCAGGTTTTCCAGATTTTTTTCCAGCAACAACTATGGTTAGTTCCCTTCTCTTTCAGTCCAGGTACCAAAAGTGAGAATGATTATCTTTGCCAAAGAGAACAAAATTTTATTCCGATTAGATTAACATTATGTTTCTGCTACTAAAGAAATTATTGTTTCAAGAAATATAGTATTATAGGTGGAGCTTTTAGTACAGAATCTTTGGCCTTTACCTTATCTTTTAAGCTTTGGATGGTTTCAGTCATAGTCAAAGTGCACAAACACTACATAACAAGGGAGACTGGAATAGATGCTAAGAGATCATCAATGATGTCAACTATAGGAAGCTTCACAAGCACAATAAGAATGGTTAACAAGTTAGCACTTAAAATATCAAATTCAACTTAGATTCTTTAATATATAAGCTCTATACACAGTTGAAAAATCAGTAAAGTAGAAAAGTAGGTATATAGATTACACACAATTAAACTTTTATTTAAAATATCCAGAAAATGACAGAAAAGAAAAAGAACTGTCAAAGACTGAATACACAAGTGAACACGCATGTTTTATGATGGAAAGCAGATATTAGAGCCACTGACTCAGAAGTTCCAAAAAATGGTTAAAGTTCCTGCTTTGAGACACAAGAAACTAGTGAGTTTGTCCTACCTAATTATTGTACATTTAGCTTAAAGAGTGGAAGAACCAGATCTATAAAGAGACTGAAGTAAATTAAGAAATAAAAAATGTTATTAGTTGAAAGTATGTACATAGGAGGCTTGAATTCTCTGTTCCTTTCTCCACCTCACAGAGACAGGAAAGTATTTCAGGATCAGAGAGAGAATAGACAAATCTACTCTTGGGCTGGGGATTTAGCTCAGTGGTTCCGCTGCCTGCCTCGCAAGCACAAGGACCTAAGTTCGATCCCTGGTACCAAAAACAAACAAACAAAAAAAACCAACAGACAAATCTACTCTCTAGAGAAATTGAATGAGACTTTCAATAATCTGGAAGACACTGGCCGAGCTGGTAGGCATGAAACTAAAACCAGGAAAAGTAAACAAAACATTATATTTTGAATAGAAAAATTTCTAGTCCTTTCCTATGTGGTTCTCTCAGATTGTAGGACACAAGATATGTACCTGAGATCCACACACAGTAGGTACTCTAGCATTCTAAACTCAAGAATATGGAAGGGCCAAATTAAGTCTTAATCATGCTGATATTTGTGAGTTTTCAAGGCAGTAGCCCTGAACTAACATGGTTACATTAGAATGAAGCCCTGCCAACAACAGAACCTGTACAGTCACAAAAAGTTGATTGTCAGCATCTTGATATGGCACCATTCTTAAGTATGAAAATATAGCTAAAGTCACAAGGCATTTGAGGAGATGCCTATAACATGAAATAGGGCAAAAACACTGCCTCTATTAAAAAAAAAAGAATGAACATATATAATAGATGAAAATGCCTTTGATATGATTTGATTAATATCCTGAGAAATAAAATCTAAGAACAAATACTTAATTTCATAATTACTCTATGCCACTCATTGTTTTAAGTGTGTCGTATGCATTTGCCCATTTAATCTTAATAGCAATCATATAAAGCATATACCCTTTAATATGACAAAGATTATGACTACACCTTGCTAGTTTTAGAACTCTGACCAAGTCCTTATCTTCCCTGACTCTCATTTTTAAATGTATATATAATACTGTATAATGTATTTTTACATAATACATTATAAGAAATACTTATGAGCGAAGATACTATTTCTGTAAATCTATCACAAAATACTATGAAAAACGCTCAGAGAAACAAAAATAACTTTTAAAAATAAACATTTGTCAGTCAAAAAAACCTTAAATATAAAGATTGAATAATTAAATAGTCAAGAAAGTGTAACAAGAGGCAAAGAGAAAATAAGAAAGGAAAACAAGCTTGAAGTCTTATAGCGTCAACTCAGGAGATTCCCATGTATAATTTAGATTCTGGGTAAAGTGAGAATGAAGAAAACTTGGGAGAAATTATAGTAAAACACAATAAGAAAATTTCTCAAAATTGAGCCTAAAGATTAACAAGGAATGCCCATATGACTAGATTAATAAATAAGAGATACTATTAAGTTATTTTCAGAATGAAGGGAAAAGTTTTCCATTGTTTCCAGAAAGACAGAAAAAATGAATTACATATAAAGAGATGGGAATTAGAGTGGATTCAGTCTTCTGAACAGCAACTCTGCACAATAAAAGGAATGGTGTTTTTAAAATCTGAAAATCTAATTTTAAATTTTAATATCTAAAATTATTTTCAACCTGGAATTTTATCCCCAGTAAAACTATCAATCAAATTAAAAGAAAAGATTACTTCAGAATGCAAGGTCTTCAAATATTTTTACCTCCGTGGCATCCATTTTTAGGAAGGTATTGAGAGGTGTATGTTAGTCAAATATAAGAGTCAACAAAGGAAAAATATACTGGACCCTACACCAAGTGTTATGATTAGGATCCAACATTTTCCCCAAAAGGCTCATTGCTTTGAGAGGCTGGTTGCAGCAGGGTTTGGGGGAAGTGATTGGATTATGGGGACTTGTAATTCCATCTACTCATGAGATCATAATTTGAAAGCACTGAGAAGTGATGGAAACAAAAGGTGGAGCCTAGTTGAAGTGAGTGAGTAGATCATGGAAGTGTGAACTTTTTTACTATATTTGGTTACCTGTCCTTTTCTCTCTTGTTCTTTCCCACTCTCTCTGCTTCTTGGCTGACATAGGTGAGCACCTTTCCTTTACCATAATGTTTTTCCTTGCCACAAGTCTAAAAACAATGGAGTCAGTTGATCATAGATTGAAACCTCTGAAACTATGAGACAAAATAAACCTATTTAAATTATTTATTCTCAGGTATTTTGTCAAAATGGTGAAAAGCTAACACAACAGGGGATTGACACAGGAAAATATGAAAGGAAAATACCCCTAGTAAGGCAGCTCATAAAACAAACATTGTAAATGAAGTAGAAGTTTGGCTGAAAATCTGCAAGAAACAAACACAGTTAATAGTTATCTCATACAGTTTAATATTTTAAGGAGAAAGATGATATTCCAGAGAGATGATGTCAAGAACCAATAGCAAGGGCCGGGGATTTAGCTCAGTGGCTCTGCCGCCTGCCTCACAAGTGCACGGTCCCGAGTTCAATCTCCAGTATCAAAAACCAACCAACCAAACAAACAAAAAACCCAAAAGCAGTTAATAGAAAATTATGTAAGTACAAGACAGCAATTATCAGGTCTAGGAAAGTTATTTTTCCAGAAGGGAAATGTAATGATACTGTGCTCTTGTGTATTTAGAAGACAGTTTAGCAATATAAACTCTACTATTCAACCTTAACAATTATATTAGGAGAATAGAAGAAGGAATCTATAGTGATTATGTTTATTTGTTGGAAATTAAGAAATAAACTTTATTCTAGCAAGAAATTATTAAAATATAAAACCAAATGTCAAGATAAAGTAGTACAGTCATTATAAGAACTATGATCAATTTTAGAAGAAGCCACTCTGTAGAAGGGACTGGAGATTGAAGAAATTATTGTTTTTCTTCATAATTTCTAATTTACCTTGATTTTGAAACTAGAAAATAACCTTAAAACAAATTTATAAAATAAAATTAAATCTGGGGCTGGGGATTTAGCTCAGTGGTTCCAGCGCCTGCCTTGAAAGCACAAGGTCCCCAGTTCAATCCCCGGTACCAAAAACAAAACAAAAAAACAAAAAAAAAAACAAAGAAAAATTAAATGTAAATACTGTTCTATCATCCAATATTCTCACACACAATTTTTCAAAATGCTTAAAAATGTATACTCATTTTCATGCAGTTTATTACATTTGATTGGAATTATAAGACATGGTCTGTTTTATATATTAGCAAAGTGAACATAATACAACTAAGTGTAATTAAAGAAGCAACACAAAGATATTATAGAAGTACAATATCAATCACAAAATGATTTGTTTCATTTTATAATGAACACAGCAACAAAAAATTATGTCTTTAAATGCTGTGATTTAGAAATACCATGATTTCTAACATAAAGAAATAAAACTTTAGAATAAGATTTTTTTCATTAAGTTTATTGTATACAGTTACATTCATCATTGGGATCTTATACCTTTACATGATGTATCTTGGTTCTTATTTTTTCCCCATTCCCCTGCCCTCCCATTTTTAGAATAAGATTTAAAGTGTAAATGTGACTTCTTACATGAGGGAAGTGCAATAGATGGGTGGTTAGAACACGAAAAACATGGCAGAAGAGGGACTTGGGTTGTAGCTCAAGCAAAGTGAGTGCTTAGCATTTCCTACAGCCTGGATTCAACCTCCAGCACCAACAACTAAACGGGAGAAAAATGAAATCTTCAGTTCTTATAATTAGAAACAACAACAAACCTTTGTACATTAAAAGCTTAAACTCATTATTAAGGATTATTCATTATAAAGGATTAAAACCTTAAACTCATTATTGAAAATGAATGGCAATTCAATTAAAACTAGCCTCTACTGAAAAAAGGATAAAATAACATTGGAAAGCAATAAATAGTCGATGAAAATTTTAAACTGAAAATATAACTAGTATTGCATAACAAGTAGTACAAAACTAACTGATATGATAGTCTAGCACTTAAAAAGTATGTGAAAATATTAACAATTTTTAACTGAAAATTGAATCCGAAGCTATTTCAGAAGTTAGGATTTTCTTCACTATCACTTCCAGGACCCTGTGTGAGAATATTAGGGTAAATTGGTTTTAAGAACTTGAAATCGCTGGTCCCAGGGCCTCCAGTGAGACACACCTCATAGCGGTAGCTGTGGGACAGGGTCCCCGTGCCGCTGACGTCCCCCAGGGGGCCCGGGAAGGGGCCC